CGCAGCACGTGTGTCTGGGGGACAGCCGCCCCTCCCCCGGCTCTGACCCTGATGCGGGACCACTGAGCTCCCCCCCACCACCCGCGCTCGAGCTTCTTCCAAGCTGCTCCCCCGAGGCTGAAGCTCCGAGGGAGGGGCCCCAGGAGGCCCGCGCGGGCCTCCAGCAGCCTCCGCCTCGGTCCCTACTTGTCACAGCCCAGTTGTGGGGACTTGTCGCCCCAGCACCAGAACCCTGGGCGGAGGGGGCTGGGGTGGGACGGGACCCCTCGCTTCCCGGGCGGGTGCCTCCGCAGCCAAGATATTCCTCCTGATCAGAAGCCGCCACAGCCCCGCCGGTGTGGCCCAGTGGGCTGGAGGGTCAGCCCCGCGCCAGGAGCCGCGGGCTCTGTCCCGGGTCAGGGCACGTGCCCAGGTTGCGCGTGATCCCGGCTGTGCGCACGCACGCGGCCGCCAGCCAGGTGCTCTCTATTCCAGGATGGGGCGTGGTGGCCGCCAGGTAGTTTTAATTAATTGCAGCAAGTAAAAGAGACAGAGGACCCACATCCAGAGCCCCATCTCCCTGAAGGGAGGCTTAGCCACTGCTTTTTTCTTGGCAGTTGGCTAAACTTACCTGGATTTTGCTAATTACATGTTAGGTCCGGATGAAGGAAGCACTGTGCACAGGCACTTTGACCAAAGCTTGCATGAAAATAATGAGAAGAAACCAATTAACAATTCAAGTTTACTAAAACTTCTTGTCATTAGTAACTGCTTTTAACATTTTCAAAGAGTTACAGTAAAACCATACCTTAATTAGGGTTCAGAATTTTCAGTTCAGTATGTTATTGGATTATTAAAAACCAGTACTTTTCAGTCTATAAAATACAAACTAATGGTTATAAATGTCATAGTGCACACACAGGTAATACACTGTACAAAGAACTGAGGCTGACTGGGGAATGGGGGCCATTCAGAAGTCTTGTTGAAATTAATTTGTATTATTGTGGATGGCAGCATTACATGGTTTTTTAAAAATGTTTTTACTGATTTCAGAGAGAGGGAGAGGGAGATAGAAACACCAATGGTAAAAGTCATTGATTGGCTGCCTCCTGCATGCCCCCGAATGGGGATCGAGCTCACAACCCCGGCATGTGCCCTGACCAGGAATCGAACCATGACCTTCTGGTTCATAGGGCCACACTCAACCACTGAGTCACACTGGCCTGGCTGCATTATTCCTTTTGAGTATGCTGTTCTGAATTTAAGGTAGAGAACAGACTAGAATTTTCAAATATTTGTCCTAATTATAATGATTTTCTACACTTTATTCAGTAATTGCTGGACACTTATTACAAGCCAAGCAGTTCTACAAGATAGACACACAGTGGTGAGAAACACCTCTAACCTATGTGGAAGCTACACTGTAGTTGACTGCAATTTTGACCATTACTATCCTTTTGTTAAAGAGTTCTGCACATAATCTTTATTCTCTTCTGGGCAGACTCTAATGAAATGGAGGGTTCTCCTGTTGTGTTCATCTTCAGAACTGGGACATTGAAAGCTCTAGTGTAACTACTTATCATATTTATAAAACCAGTTGTCTCTCATGTGAAATCTGATATTTATAAAGAATTCATGCCCCAACTGAGTTAAAACACATTTTATACAGCTGCTTCCCTGGACAGTTCCTCGAGGCTTCTGAGCTCTGAAGGAGCTTTTCACAATTAGCAGAACAGGCTTCCTAATGGACAGAAAGATGTGAACTCTAATTAGGCTATGTCACACCTCACATTTCTATAGATTCCCTCCAGTGTGGATTCTCTGATGATATACAAGATGTGATCTCTGGCTGAAGCCTTTACAACATACATCACATATGTAAGGTCTCTCTCCGGTGTGGACCCGCTGGTGTGTGTGAAAATGTGAGGCCTGACTGAAGCCCTTACCACACTGCTGGCACATGTAGGGCTTCTCTCCTGTGTGGACCCTCTGGTGAGCACTGAGCCCAGCACTCCAACTGAATTCTTTCCCACACTGCTCACATTTAAATGGTTTCTCCCCAGTGTGAATTATTTGATGGACTTGAAGATTTGACCTTTGGCTGAAAGCCTTACCACAGGTATCACATTTATATGGCTTCTCCCCAGTGTGGACTCTCTGATGGGCTTGAAGATGTGAAGACTGACTGAATCGCTTCTGACACGCATCACATTTGAATGGTTTCTCTCCAGTGTGGACACTCTGATGAGCTTGAAGATTTGAGGCCTGACTGAAGCCCTTCCCACACTCCTCGCATTTATAGGGTTTCTCTCCTGTGTGGACTCGTTGATGATTGTGAAGATTCAAGCTCCAATTGAAGCGCTTCCCACACACCTCACATTTGTATGGCTTTTCTCCAGTGTGGACTCTCTGATGGGCTTGAAAATATGAACTCTGACTGAAGCCCTTCCCACACACATTGCATCGAAACGGTTTCTCTCCCGTGTGAACCCTCTGATGGCTCTGGAAACTTGAAGCTGAACTAAAGCCCTTCCCACACTCCTCACATTTATAGGGTTTCTCCCCCGTATGGACTCGTTGGTGACTGTGGAGATTAAAGCTCAAACTAAAGCACTTCCCACACTCCTCACATCTGTATGGTTTCTCTTCGGTGTGGACTCGCTGATGGGTATGGAGGTTTGAGCTACAACTAAAGCGTTTACCACAATCTGCACATTTATATGGTTTCTCTCCAGTGTGGATTCTTTCGTGGGCCTGAAGATGTGATCTCTGCGTGAAGCCCTTTCCACATACCTCACATTTATAAGGTTTCTCTCCAGTGTGGACTCTGCAATGAATATTAAGATCTGTGCTACGACTGAAGCCCTTCCCACAACTTTCACATCTATAGGGCTTCTCTCCTGTGTGAATGGGCAAGTGAGCGTAGAGGTGCGAGGTCTGATTAAAGCTCTTACCGCACTCTAGGCATGAATAGGGTTTCTCCCCTGTGTGGACTCTCTGATGAGTTTGCAGGTTGGAGCTCTGACTAAAACCCTTCCCACACTCATGACACCAATAGCGTTTTTTTCTTGCGTGAACATATTGTTGACCCGGAGTGGCTGAGCCGTAACTGGGATCCGCGTGCGAACTACAGGTAAGGGGCTTCTTTCCCGAGTGTACCTGCTGATGAACTTGCAGACCGGAGCTCTCAGTGAATGCTTTTTCACATTCATTCCACTGGTAGCTTTTCTGTCCTGTATGGATTATACCGAACTGGGCAAGAGGTGACACCTTTGAGATGTCTTCACCACAATCTCTGTTGCTGTGAGCTTTTTCTCTTTTGTGTGCTGTATCATCATCACGATGGTGCGAATTACAACTGAAGATGTTAGCACACGGAACAAATATACATAACTTGTTTTCCACTGGCATCTGCTTACAGCTTCTCTGATAATTCAGTGTCTCGTTCAGATATATTTGACTCCAAGAATTCTGAGCTCTCTTTGTTGGAACGTCCTGATTTTCATTAATCCTGGAATGTTTCTCTACGAGATTCATTATATAGCTGTCTTTCACATCAGCCTGAATGGCTATTCCTGTCCCCACCCGACCGGGGAAATTATGTTGTTTGGGGACTTGAGAACTCTTTTCTTGATTATGTACCATGGAGACTTGACTTTTTGTTAATTTACTCTCAACATGCCTCCTGATTTGCCAGCATGAAAGCTCTCCCAAAGGAAGGCACCTAACTCCTGCTTCACGGAGAGTCTCCATCTCATTTTCATTCCTGCCTCCTGAAAATTAAGGACAGACAGGGACATCAGCAAGAAAGTATGCTAGGAAGCCCCAAGCTCTTGTTCTCCCATTCAAACATTTAAAAAACCAGAGACTAGCAAAACTAACTGTGAGATTTCTGAAAAAATGGTCAAAGTCTACAGCAAACAACAGAGCGACCAACTGAGAAAACGCCACATTTAAAACGGTATGAAATTTGGTACCAGCCCAGCTTGAGGGGATAAGGTCTTCTAGGGTCTTTCCCAAGAGTGTGTCTTGCCTGGGGCTGTGTGCTTTTTCCCATTCCCTCTGTGCACAACTACTTTTAAATGTCAGTTTTACTTGTGGAACGTTCTAAAGGATGCAGCAGTTCACCTCTCAATTCTCTACCTCAAACTAGAGAGAGCAGAGCAGAATTTCTCTGCACTATTCTGTCTTGGGGATGCCTGAAGAACCAGTCTGCTTTGCCTGACTCAGAGACGAGATGGGAAAAAGCGATGGAAAGCAGCCGTAGACACTGTTCATGGAGGCTACAGGGGGGCTATCCACACACAGAGGCCTAGAAAGCGATTATATGTGAAGGAATGCTCTAGAACATCGAAGTGCAAGAAAAACTAGGTGGCCCTTCTTGGGAGATTAAGAGATTTAAAAGCACCTGTGCCTGAGGGGATTGAAAAGGGATACGCACAGACCCAGGAAAGTCATTAGCTCAGGAAAAGACCGCCCTAAGCCCGGGCAGCTGCCAAGGCTCAAACACACCCCGCCATTAGGCTTCCCCAGAAATGAGCCAATCAGCAAAGACCGGTCCAGGGGCTGTAACGCAAATGCTCAATTTTCAACAATAAAAGCATAAAAGCCACAGGAAAATCTGGCCTATTCAAAGGAAGAAAACCAAGTGGTTGAAACAACTGTCCATGAAGATCCGCAGGTTTCAGTATCAGGTGAAGACCAAAGCAACTGTCTCACACGTGCTCAGCGAGCGGAGGGAGGGAGTGACGCAGGCAGCGGAAGCTCCAGCCTGTTCCCACACTCGCCACCGACACCAACACGTGGGGGAAATCGCTTTGAAAACTTTAAGCCCCAGTTAAGAACCTACGCCAACCAAGGGAGTATCAAACCAAAGAAGCTGAACTCCCGTCAAGGGCACGTCCCCGGGCTGCAAGGTCCTTCCCAGCCCTGGTTGGGGTGCCTGCTGGAGGCAACCAATCGACGTCTCTATCTCATCAATGTTTCTCTCCCCCCCTCCGTACCAGGCCACGGCTTGTGACTGATGCTTTCAAAGGCTCTCTCAGGTCGCTGTGTGGAGAACAGGTCACTCAGAAGAGGGACAGGATAATGGGCTCTTACCTCCAAGGACTCCAGCTGCACAGTTCTGCCCTGAATGCCCACCTCTTTGAGGCTCGATCTCCGTCATCCAAAGCTTTTCCTCTCTCTCCAACTGGGATATCACATCTGGTTTAGAGGACAGATGCCCTGTGAAGAGACAAAATTTAAATGAAATGTAACAGGTAAAAAGTACTAAAAATATTTGGTTTCCAATCCCATGATGTAAGGCCCCGCCCCGCCCCAAAGCATTGTCTAGCAAATATTTTGATGCAACTTACTAATTTCATGACCCACCAATGGATCTTGACCTACAAGTTTAATAAAAGATATATCAACCCTTGCCAGGGTGGCTGGGTTGGTTGGACCGTCATCCTGGTCACCAAATGTCGAGGGTTTGATCCCGGGTCAGGGCACTTAACCAGGTTGTGCGACAGGAGGCACCTGATTGATGTTCCTCCCC